AAAAAGGCTTTTTGAATTGTCTTTGCCATTCATGGCTTGTATATTCACTGCATGTAAGAGTGGTGATTGGCAGCACAGAGAAGTGACAGAAGTAAACTTTCTTTTTCCCGTGAATTCTCCTTAATCTTCTCAATTATTTGAGATTTTGAATTAACTCACTGAACTATAAATCCTACTTCAGTGTAGTTTCAACACTATTTTACAGAATTTTAGGCAATAATTTTTTTGGACAAAGAATATGAAGACCCTGATCACCACCAATAAGAGTTTTGAACATTTCCACTGGCTTCCACCAACTCCATAGGCACCGACCCCAAAGATGATGTAAACTAAAGCAAAATGTGGCCCAGTAGTAAAAGTTCCTGTTCCCAAAGTCAATGGCCAGTCTGTTGTCCAGCGGCTCTTGGTGAAATGACAAATAAACAAACATGGTTACTTTTAATTCAGTGTCTGTTAGGTTCAGCCTTATCTCCCCATGGTCTAATGTTGAGGGATGAAGCCTCATTAATATATACACTTAGTTTGCAGTATAGAAAAATGCACTTTTTTTAAAGAGAAATACACTTTATTCCCCTTTCAGATAGACCAGTAGCTGTTATTTGGAAATGATGACAATAATAAATATGACTTTGCCCCCATTTGCAGACTAGCAGAGCTGTCAAACACACAGCCAGCATAATGGCAGTGCTGTAGCAGCTTCATAGGCAGCTGGGGAGCTGCATCCATCACGGGCTATTCTAGTCTGAAATGATTCATCTCAATCAAATGATGGTTTACTGGTTTCATATTTGTGTAATTCCACTAAATTAATCATATGGTGATATAAAAGGAGACCAGAATCAAATAAAAGGATGTCAACTTCCAAGCAAAAAATTGGCTTTCAAATTACAAGAGTTGAGTTTTCACCACTAAGATAATGTACCCATGCTTCCAGAAGCGACTTACACTATGTGGGTTCAGCTGGATTCAGGTGCATTCCACATACACACACACAAATATTTATCTTATTTACATGTACTGCTTCAGATATTTTTGGTAATCTTTCATATTCCCATGAAACTCACTGCAGTTTGGGTTCTAAGTACACCAGCTTCAAATACTGCATTTTAATTCTCCTTAATGAATTAGTTATGCTTTAGAGCTATAATAAACTTTTCTTGTGAAGATATTTCTGAAGCATTGAGTCACATTGCTTACTGAGAATAAATACTGCAATAATATATTTACATAAATAATTTAAAATCCGAGAGCACAGTAGGTAATAAAAATATATTGCCATGATAAACCATGAAACCAGAGAACAACGTTGCTTTAATTAAAAATTACAAATACACTGCAGTAAACAACTTATTTACACATAGTTAAAAGTCTAACTATTGAATATCCTGGACTTGTTGAATCCAAAAAAAGGAAAAAATACTGAAACCAATCTCTTCACACAGACAAAATATCGAGGACAGTAATGGTGTTTAATTAAGATCTACTGTTAATAATGGATTTGAGAGAGTGAGGCTCTTCTTTTAATTTCCCAAGGTAGAAAATGTTATTAAATTTGGCCTTTAACTTCTCATTGACATATACACTTGAAACTTCTGATTAAAATTTCAGAGGTTGAGAAGAAGTACCCAAAATTAAACTCTTAAATCTGGCACAAAAATAACAATGATCCCTGATTAAGAAATCAAATTTCAGAAACTTCATTACTGTTCTATTAATAAATTGTTGTGTTATAATTAAAATGGGTCCTGCTGGATTGCTTTCATTTTTTAATTCTAAAAAATCTGAAAACTGAAGAGGGAATTAAACATTTTTTAAAAAGTAGGCTAATGAATCTAAGAAATGCGATCCAACTTGAACAGGTTCCTTTTCTTTCTGGGAGTGATCACAGAAGAGCAAACATTAGTTTCCACCTAAAGGTATGAGTTCAGGAAAAAACACTGGTTCTGTCTGCTCCTTCCTTTCTACAACACCCATAGCCCAAAGATCACTATCCACATTGCAGACTTTTCACAGGAAATCATAGATCTGGATACAGGTGTGAAAGTCTAGTTTTAAACAGGTATAATTAGAGTCAGATTAAATTAGATGCCTACACTATTTAGCTGGTCAATATAAGAATGCAGTTCTTGTTTCCAGGATGGTGTTTCTACCTCTACCTTGAGCTTCTTTGATACATTAACATCAGCAGATCAGAGGAGAGCTGGCACTATGACAGCTCACTGCTAAACGTGTGTAGACAAATAGCTAGAGCTCAAGGTACATGCTTTTGAGTCTTACAAATACTTGGAGTCATGTTTTTTTCGGTGTAATACATTTTTGCCAGCTTGTTTGAACTTTTAAATGAAATTCTTTTTCAGTCTGCAAAAACACTTCAAGCTGAAGAACAAGAAAGAAAATTGCTTCAAAAATACAGCTGTCTTTAGGAATTTTTACAAAGTAACCCACATTTTTCAGAGAGATAAGTAATTTGAATCTGATTCAGATATGGAATGTTCAAAGAATCAATTCAATCTAGATATGGACAATGGCATGAAAGGTTTCTATGCACTATTCATGGTTCTTGAAATGCATTTATGATGTTATAACTAGTAGAGTAACTAAACTCCCTGATTACAAATAATCATCAGCCCCTCCTATAAGTTTTACATAGAAAACTAAAAATATTCCCTGCAGTTAGACGTATCTCAGTTGTTACAGGTTGAAAATAAAAAAAAGTAACATTACTGATTCTTTGTTGTTCTTATGTTGGTATCTGTCTGCATGTTTTGAACAGATACATACTTTTTTGGGGGTGATGGACATTGTTCACACAGCACAAACAATACGAATCTGGTATTGGTTGCTTCTTGCAGACACAAAACATTGCTTACTCATAGTCATCGATATTTAGTGTAATATCTCGTTTAAAAGTCTGTATTGTGTCTGCTTGACCTTTATTTTACCAGTATAATCATAGTAAGGACTCTGATGATATTATTTATAGCAGCACAGCCTGAGAACCATATAGTTTGGTATACGTTCTCCACAAAAGCCCTGGACCCAGGCTCAAACTCTAAACACACCTGCCTGTAGGAACTTAGGAGAAAATATTTCTGCCAGACTCAAATGAGTGAGTAGCTTTGGCCTTTATACATGCAATTTTATACTGTCCTTAATTGCAGATGCTGCTCTCATATACTACAGCATTCCTTTTTCACTGCTAGTAGCTACGTGTTTCAATAATACCTGTCAGTGTTAAAAGTATCATTTGAAAATATTATTTTATGCTTTCCTGTTATTTTAGCAGAAGAAGGGCATACAGGTAGTCAAATTAGCCTTTCCTGAATCATTGCACTATTTCCTGTATTTCCATTACATTTGCATTATTTTGTTCTAACTTACACAGCCACTCCCTTTTAGTAGGTCAAGGGGAAGAATTCAGATAATAGTTGCTAGATTGTTAGTTTTGATAACCAAATCCTTGTATTTTCTTGGCTTTTCTCTTTCAGCATCACAAAATCAACTGTTACATTAATTAGTATGACTTTTCTTATCTCCCATGAAAATATGCAAAGTTATTGAGAACTTCAATAATTAAGTTTCTTAAACTCAGCCCCAGTCACAAAGGGAATAAATATCTTTTCCCTACCCAAGCTGGGTCCCGAGTAATGCTGCTGAGGGTCATATTGCTGTACCTGACAAGCAATAGAAATTCCATTGGTTTTCCATCCATAACACAAATCTGTGTGACCACAGTGAATGAAATAAGGGCTGTTTGGAGCAAAAGCTAAAACTAAGAATAAAAATGCATTCTGTAAATAAATACCTTTAGAAAACAAGGGGAATGACATATGCTAAGAATCATCCTTAGAATTATCTGCCTTGCCTTTTTCCCCCTTCACTGGAGATGAGCACACTCACCTGCACTCACACATTCACCTTCTCATCACTTGAATCCAAAGCTGCCAGCATGGTCCTTTGGAATGGCATGCTTACTGACAGTTGTTACTGAGAGAGAACATCTTCAAGATCAGTAGCTTGCTTTTTTGTAAAGCAGTATATATGTCAAACCTTCTGTAAGTGCACAATCACTGCTAAATAATTCAGTGATAGTAGAGAAATCTACCCCTATGATATAGATTGACAATGCCCATTGTTCAGGTAAAGCTCTGAAGTCATTTTCACAAAGATGTTTACAACCTTTTATTTACATTGATATCGAGGGGAAATGAGACTTCCAAGTAAGAACGAAAAATTAAACACAGATGTAGATTTTAGTTGTAGTGCCCAACCTGCAGTTCTCAAATGCTGAGAAAAGCTGTCTGGAAAGTCAACTTAGTACTAGAGAAGAATGTGGTTGGTCTTTCATTTTTCAACAAATCTAAAGACCAGACCAGGTGGATCAAAATAGAAGACCATCGCACCACTTAACACCTAGGTTTGCTCCTTGCAACACAGCACATGTGTGGGACTACATTAGCATAGCACAGAAACAATAATTTTCTTTCACCTATCAGGACAAGCCCAAATCTTAGCTTACTGTAACTTCAGTGTTTCACTGGGAAATCTTTTCTCAGCCCTTGAATATGGACAGTTATTACTTCACTGAGGGACATTGTAAATTATCATAAACTGACTTAATCCATATGTAAAAGAGATAAATTATTTCTAGACACATTTGCAATTTTTACACAGTTTCTCTGGTTCTTATGAAGGAAGAGTAATGAACAAGCTGCTTAAAAGTCATTCTGAAACACTAAGCAAAGCTCCGTCTATTGCTCGTGACATTCAATTGCTCTTCTGCAGTAATCTCATAGCTGGAAAACTATTGCCCCCCATCTAATGCAGTTCTTTGTTTTCACCATACTGAATCCCTTCATTGCAGAGAAAAAAAAAAATCCACTTTTTATTACGTAGAGCCCAAACAACTTTAATTTAATTCTGTACTGTCACAGAAATTCTCAGGCACAAAAGATACACTCCCTTTCTGATGAACGAAAAGTAGAGGGTACTGCACTCACCTGATAGTCTGATGTTGCAAAGTATCTGGATCAGTAGCATTTACTGTTAACACGACACTGCCAATAGGGATGTTTTCTGGTTTTGTCACTGCCATCGGGTTTGGGTGGAAAACTGGGCCTTCATTCACATCCTCGACAGTGATCTGAACTGTTGCCGTGGAACTGGGGCCATAGGCTATGTCTGGAATCAGTGGGTCTTCATTTTCTACTTTGATCAGCAACGTGTGAAATGCCGAAATCTCATAGTCTAAAGGCTGCAAAACATACCATAAAATCAGAATGCACGGAGCAAAGACAGCACTTGACAGCTTTTCCTTGCACCCCATTGCAAACTTGCAGAAGACAGAATTAGCCAGAAAGGGACGACAGCATTCATCACATCTGATCCTTGGTCAGAGTTCAACATCAGACACAATGGTTGTTGAAGTGCATTGCAGATAATGAATGTGATGGACTTGATGTAAGATGGAGATGTCCCTCTATCCAAGAGTACACACTTTTTTGTCATATCTGATCCATATAATTTGATTCTCCTATATACATGCTTATTTTTGATGTAATATGCATTTAGCAAACAAGTCACAGTCATAGTTGGTAGCTACTTATGATAAGTAACATAAGGCTATTTTCTCAACTCCTACCTTGAAATCAAAAGCACCACCATGGAAAAACATTCTGTTTGTCTTAAGAATTGAAAATGCCTCTTCTGAATTCAAACAGAGAAAATTCTGGAACAGGCAGCAACCAGGGCTTATGTTTCTGATATATGAGATATAGGATTATCTTCATATAAAGAGAGATAATTTTTTTTTCATGAGACTTTAGAAATGTGGGACCAAAGGTGGCTCTCCAGTTCAGTTTGAAGCCACATCCCTTACTTTCCTGACATTTGCATCTTTGTTCTTCGACTGAGAACAAAACAGTGCCCTTGAATTCTAATCGTACCCTCAGTCACAAACCAAACTTTGTTGTAAAGTCTGACTATTAATTGTGATGCTTACCACAAAACTAGCTGCTGTTTAAGCACAAGGGCAATGTAGTTAACAAGAGGAAGGTCCTTAGGGCTAAAGAAGTAAGGTTACTGTGACAGAAGAGGTGGTTATACCTATTGCTTAGACAAGGGCTGGTAGGCCACTATATATTTTTGAGAAACTTATCCTTGCTGTGTCTTCTCTTATGCAGTAAATCCAGTGGGTGGATCTTACAGCAATAATAGGGTACAACAGCAAGTTGTTCTTACTTTGACAACAGAGAGCATTCCCTCGTTAGTCTGGGGATTGGTATGGATTTCAAAACTCTGCCCTGGATTTCCATTAATAATGGTGTAAACAGCTCTCCATGCTCCAGTTGCTGGGTCATCTCGGTCACCAACGGTTAAGTTTACTATTACACCTGTGACTCCTTCCTTTACTGTGGCTTGAAACTGGAAAAAAAACACAGAGGAAATTGTTACTACTTTCAATTAACGACCACATACACACACATGAAATACCCAATTCAGCATTAATTATTTACCACAACAGGAGCAAGATGTAATCCTTGACTGAAACTGAATGTTATAGGCTCTAAATAATGCATTCTTACTCATGAAATATAAGGTAGCACACAACAGCTGCTCTCTGTTTAATAGATGGCAGACAAGCAGCAATGTTATAGGAATCAAACTTGGGAAGATTCTGATCACAAGACAACAGTTCATCTCATATTACTGGAAAAGTGAATCCTGAAAATATATGTGTGTTGCACAGATGTGCATGCTGTCAGAAAGGAAACCATACTCATAGCTAAGTAGAAGAGGAAGGTGACTAACAGCCCATTCTTGCCCTCAAATGTTCTATTATTTACAAATAATCCAGTTTTACATTTCAGACTATTATTTTCATAAATTACCCAACCCATATTAATTTTTCACTACACTGTCATCAATACATAAAACATTTTTCACAAGAAGTGTTCCCATATCCTTTTTTGGAGGGGTTGCTGTAAGAGACTCAAAAATAATTTGACCTTATGCTACCACTTTGTCTGCACAACCAAAAGTCAGTGTTACTTTCTTTTTTTCAGTGGAGGAATTTTTTAATGACCTTGTGAATTTTGTTGCACCGCTGTACTATTCAGTTGGCCAAGCCCTAGGAGAAAATTCTAATTTACTCTCCAGACAAACAGTGTATAACATCATTTTTATCTACGGAGGAAAAATATTAAGCAAACCATTGGAAAAGCATGTAAGGGTCAGACTTAATAATACTGCTCACCTTTCAAGTACTTGAGGCTGACGTGCTAAAAGCATTGTATATAAGAGTGATAAGATAATACCTGCTTTATAGGTGGATAAACCAGAGTGATAACATACCTAATCCAGAGAAGTGCTGAACATCAGCAGTACCATTATAGATCATTAGTAAATCTTAGCGTTTCCAGGGATTAAGTCTTCAAAAGTCCAAAATTACAAACTTTAATGACACAAATACGCTTTGCCGTACATGCACTGCTTAAAAGCTACATCATCGGTGACAATATATCACTCAAAGGCAAAAATCACCCAAGTGGCTTCAAAAACTGAACAGACTAAATGTCTTTTGCTCTGTCTTATAGACCACATGAAGCCATAACACTGGAGAAGATTCTGTGAGAATATTGAATCCAGAAAATGGTATTTTATTAATATATAGATTTCACAATCTGGACAAATAGTAGATAAAATGGATTTCCTCACAGTAAAAGGCAGAGGAGGCAATTATATCTTTTCCTGTGTTCAGTTATTTCGTTTTTCATTTCTTCCTATAGATTTGACTTATGTTTCAAAACTCTTTTTCAATTTACTTGTATAATTTGAATGTATGCATTCAGTTCAACCTTTCCAGCCTCCAACTTGATTTTATAAAAGGGTGACATTAATGATTGGCTATTTCTATATTCTTTTGATTTCAATAGTTCATATGTAACAGGTTGTGATTGATCTTTGTTTCAGACAGATCATTAAGCTAATTTGCAGTTTAATTAACTCTAAACGATAGTAAAACAATATTTTCACTTGCTTTGAAACAAATCAAAAGAAAAGCTCTATTAAGAATCTTGGAAATAACAGAGGAACGATTACCAAGATTGCATTCCTTTCTGCTCAGCAAAATGCCATCACTGGAAAGCACACTTGGACACCTCTTACTCTAATTGAAAATAAGCAATTAGCCTGATTGATATTTTTGTATGATTTCATATTGACTCAGCTTAAGCACGTATAAAACGAGACATCAGAAACATAAGGGGCCAGAACTTTTCTCAACAAGTCTTCCATACCAAAGAATTCCTATTTAGCTTTGTAAAAAGGTGACTAGACTTCAAGGAACCTAATGCTAAAGAATCTAACGCTTAGATTTGACTGGGTATCTGCTCCTAATTCATATTGATCCTTCTGAAAAACCTTTTTCTTAATCCGCTAGTCTGATTCAATTAAGTGTTCAATACTCCCTGGATCACCTTGGGAACAGTAAGACCTGTTAGGGTGAAACATTTAAAGATCTGGCTGTTTTAATCAGATTCACAATTGTGAAGCCAGTGAGATAAATTTATTATGGTTACTCCACCAGTGCCAGACTATGATGGAAAAGGTTGCCATGACGTGCCAGCTAGTTCAAAAAATATTGAATGTCAGTTTAAGGATATCTAATTCAAGGATATCTCATCTGGGGCTTTCTTCTGCATTCCTGTTTTCTCCTTATTTAGGAAGGGCGCTCAGTAGCTTCGATTGCAGTGAGCTAGTGGTGCAGAAAGGGCACACAGACTTGCTGGGGGCATAAAGCTGCAGAGCTCCTGACACCTGCAGATCAAGGAAATGACAAGGTCTAGAGGCAAAAGCTGTGCCAAGCCCAGTAATTCCTAGTGTAGCAGTACACTCACCCCTAGCTTTCTTTGCATTTTAGAAATGACCACATAAACACGCAGAGTATTTGCAGCTGTCTGGAACATTAGACTCAAATCTGTTCAAGATGGATGAAAAAGCAGAATGATCAAATCACAGAAGTTGGCACATGGGTCTACTCTATATTTATAATGTGAAAAGTGTAATAAATCACGGATTTATCATTGCGAAAGACAAATATCTACTATGAAATAGTGAGGCCAAGAAAAATATAGTGTATATTATCTAGAAGGTGAACTCTCTTGCCTGTTCAGCCACCTTTATATAAATAATAGACTTCCTAGCATTTAGAAAAATCTATTATAGTTATACTGGGTCCCTTTCAAAAGAAAAGTAAAGAAGGGAATTCAAAACCTATCAAAGGACAAAAATAGGAATTAGATTTCAAAACAGAGAAAAAGTAATGACAAGTTCATCATATTTCAAAATAAAAGGTTTACATTCTCAAAGCACGGTGCTTAACTGGGAGAGTCTGATCCAGTGCTCTAAAATAAAACCCCATAGTGGCTAACACAAATAATTGGATCATAAGTTAATTGATTTCATTCTTTTTAAATATCTGCACATCCCTTAAGCACCACTATAAATTAAGAATAAAATGAGTTCAGTACTTTATTTAAACTGCTATCATCTCGACTCACATTAAAAATAATAACTTAGCAGGCAAATACCCTGGGCCAGAGTTGCATTTGGCTGGAAGGAGCTTTGCTACTACTGAGCATTTGAATACGTAAGGCTAACTTGCTCTGTGGAGTGCTACGCCATATTGTCATTTATTGTGCTTATCATGCATACAGCCTAGAAATTCTAGTAATCCTGTAATATTTGGAGTTTTATAAACATAGGAAAAAACAGACCCGATTCCCCTTTTTCTGCACCCAAAAGCTTATGAAAAAAAATACAGAAAGACAGAGAACAGACTGATAGCAACGTAGAAAGAAACAATGAGTGAACAGCAGCCAGCAGTCTACTCTTTATCATCATTTATTTTGTAGACTAATGAGACTTTTAACAGGGAACTGAAAGACATCAAGGAAATATAGTGATGGATGTAGATGAAGAGTTCCTCCAAGAGTGTGAGGGCAGCTTGTGAGGCAGCACAAATAGACTTGGAATTGTAATGAGTGAGCAATGTTCACTGTCAGGATGGACTGATGGGGAGTAGATAACAGCAACTGGACGTTCTTGTGAGAGATCACAAAGATGATTCCACTAGGCATGGAGATCCCTGAGAGTGAAACAAGCAGCTTGTATTTTTTAAAACAAAAGAGTCAGTAAAGGGATGGCAAGGAGATGAATAACATTCAAAACAATTGTGTTAGAATGCAGCCTGTGTTACAGCACTTGGCATAGCTCTGAGCAGGAGAGAGAACCTCAGCTCAGCAGTCAAACTCTACTCCTCCCTTCCCTGGATCTTGCAAGCCTGCTCCAAACTATGTGCAAAGCTTGAGAAGATAAAATGAAAAAATAAAATTCCTGCCAGCTTGGAACCATATCTTACTGAGTACAGGAGATTCCAGATGGCAAGTATCTACTGACAATAACGAGGCCTGCACCAAAGGCTAGCTAAAGGGAGAAGTCAGGTGGGAAAACGAACAAATCGAACCACAGGTTAATTTTAGTAGGTGTTTCCTGGCAGAGCCAGAATATAACACAACACTGAGCCAAATCCTCCTCCACACTGAGCTCTATGGTGAACTGGTAGGACACCAAAGTGGCTCAGCAGGGTCTCAGGAAAAATCAGTCTTGTCAGATTTCTGCCATGGGGCAGATACATGAAAAAATCACTTTGTAAAACGTTATCACCTGAGAATTCAGGCACCAACCCCATCTCAGCCTCAAACAAAACTGGAAATGGTACCTAACCTGTATATAAATTTGGTTCTATCTGACAGCCTGTTTAAAGTTTCTGTAGTAAGTGAGATTTTATTTACTGGCTTCTCAGAGCACAGAAGAACACATGAACTTAACTGCATCAGAATCACCTGAACATCTACTGTCCAGCAACAGCGTGAGCATGCAGTGGCAACCTTAATACCTTTATGAAGCCACTGGAAAACCATTGCGGCGGGGCACCGATATACCCAAATTAAATAGCTGCCACAAGCAGCAAACACCAGGCAAGATAAACGTGCCTGGGATCGGCGATCGCTACCCCATGGCTCATTAAGATTCTGCATGCTGTGATTCCCAGTCAAGAACAAACAAATTAAAACCGCGTGTCAGTCTGCATTTATCAGGGCGACATCCCAGTTGAAGGTATTTGTGCTACTATCATGTGTTTGTTTCCCCATCTACATATCATAAAAGATGAAAAATAATGGGATATATCAATTCACATGTCTCTATTAGAAATTCCCCACGGAAACTGTATTATTGTATTTGTCCTCCTCCACTGAAGTCCACTGCTTTTGCAACCATATTTTTTCTATCTACTTTCTTGAAAACATGAAGACAAGCTTATACAATCTCCTGCAATCTGCTTGCTCTTTGTTTCTTTTACT